TATTAGTATTTAAACGACATGAAGTGGGAACCTTATGAAATGCACTGATTTTAGAGAAAACACTTTTTAAAAGGTCTAAAATCCCATGTATGGTCGGAGAATGAACAGAGCTTTCGCTTCAGATGCGTTAATTTTGCAATTAAACAAATCAAAAAATACTATTGTTGAACCAGAATATCAGAAAGTGTTGCGTCGCGTAGAATTCCCGGGCCATTGAGGTCGACAAAAAAATTTCCTGTCTGGGTGGGGGTTAGTATTTTGCTGTTTTTATCCGTGACACTTCTAAATGAAGCATACATGACGTAAAAACAACAAAACGGTCAAGGAGTACTGGAAACAAGTTTGAAAAATAAAAAAGATGGCGGCCGAAACGCGAAGAATTTGTTTTGGCTTTCAAAGACGTTTTCTGGGCATTTTCTTCGCGCTGGCTACTCCTCACGGGTTCAGGTCAAATTCAAAGGAAAACAAAAAACCCAGTTTTTATCACATTCCTTGGTTTAAAACACAGTGGTGGTTTTAAAGGCAGACGGGAGATGGCACGATATCAGGTGGTACCGTTCGCGATTTCTACAAACTTTGGTTGTAATCTTTCCGCGAACGTCTACGCAAGCAGCCTGACGCAAGTGAAAATCCATACAAAAATGGCGATTTTTTAGTTGGTTTTTAGCGCGAAAAACCCAGTGAAATCCGATAAGCTGGCGGCATTAATCGAAGGTAAGATCTTGAACTTGATGTTTTTTATATTAATATTCCGGTGGTACCCATTGAGATTTGGTTACGAGTAACTCACAATCAGAGACAAAAAACTGTCAAATTCGCTTCAGTCTTATTATTCCGCCATATTTTAAAGACCAAATCGTGGCTCGAATGCGGCTCTAGCCTGTTAAATTCCCGGATGTGACCGGGCATTCTACGCGATGTTTAAAACAAGCGTTTTGGGTGTATTACCCTTCTTAAGTTGTAAGGAGGTCGTGTGGCCGAGCGGTTAGAGCGCTGGACTTGCAATTGGGAGGCCCCGAGTTCAAGTCCCGCCCTTACCGCTGGCTGGATTTCTTCACGGTAGTCTCGAATTCAAATCTTTGACCATACTTGTAAATAGCTGCAGCCTGTTTGCCTCCGGCCAGTTGAAATTCTTAACCCCATTATGTTTGATTTCAATTATTTGTTTCAACCATTTGCGCGGCCCTAATAGCATATTAAGTGCCATAAATACCAAGGAGGATAAATAAAGGAATAAAATAATTATTATTGTAATGCGTTCACCTTCCTATTAATTTGTTTCAGAAGAAATGGCACAAAAAATGTCCTTTTCACTAGACTGTGTATACTGCTCCAGTTACATTACGTATTTGCTGAGATTTAAAATAGTATGTCAAACAGCTTAAACAAAACGTTATTTAATAAGTATTCAGACATCTTACAGGGTCCACAAATTTTTCAGGTTGGAGAATATCCCTGCGTGAAGATCCACAATGTTGTTGGAACTAAGATCCCTGTAAAAAAATTAAAAAGAAATATTCAAGATGTTGCTACAAAACCTATTTTCCTGTAATTGTTTCTAGAAATGGTCGACAAAATAGGTGTTTCGGGTGTATAACCCTTCTTCAGTGTAAGAAAAAGTCGTCACATAACTCGGTAGCTTAACTCGCATAATTCATTTATTACAACGTTAACAGTTTTTCTTACAAAAAAGGGGAGTTATGTACACCAAATGCATGACTATTTGTGGTAGTTTTGAAATTTTGTTCCTACAACATTTTTTTATTTGGTCATACAAAGCTGTAATCGACTCTTTAACGCATCTTTTTAATAAAAAATTTAAAGACAAAAGAAAGAAGGATGCTTGCAAGGAATTTTTTTTTCTATTTCTGACTCCTATCTTTTCCTCGTTTTCCATGAAAACGCATGAGTGTTATTTTGCATATCTGACATATTTAATAATTATGGCGTCAAATCTGGACAAAAGAACACTGGGGAAGCTGTACTCTCACGCAGCCCGAATTACAATTTAAAATAGAAATCTGAACAATCAACTGCGTGTTGCAATGCGTTCTCTTTTATAGTAATCTGTTTTACAAGAAATGACTAGGCATTAGTATTCACAAGACATGGCGTAAAAAATGCCACTCACTTCAAGCCGCTAGATTTCGATTAATGTGCCAAACAGTTTAAGAGCGTCGGTCAGGAAAGTTTGAGTATTGAGTGGCAAGAGTTGAAAATTCGATTTCTTTCATTCTTTTTTCATAGGTAGCTTTTAGGTAAATGATTAATGTGGTGTAAACTGTTTTCTTGCAAAAACCTTTTATTTTCGAGAAAAGAAAGAATATCAGTTTTCGTGGACGGAGACTCAAAATGGCCTTATTTTACTATAAATTATAAAGTGTATGTTAACTAAAAACGGAGCTTTCTTAACTAGCGCTTTATAACAGAGGTACGAAAACTGTCTTGTCAAAACGACTTTTGGAGGCCGTCAAAACCTCTGGAGAAGATGAAGAAACGAACGCATCGGTAGGAAACACCTTGGCAGTTCAAGACGGCCCAGGAATCCCTGCTTCAGGTGCAAGAAATGCTGACTGCAACAGCCATTTTGATGTAGATCTCGCAAACAGCTCGTTTTCACCAGTTGCTGAGATAACTACCTCCAAACTAAACAACGAGCTGTCGAAAATCTGCTCAGAGATTATCTCTCTTCACCGTATTCAGTTTATTGAGGAATAAGCCCCCTGATCCAGTTTAAAATATGTGAAAGGCTACGTCAGCTGTTTTTTAGACGGGAATATTTATAAGGTGTAAAAGCTTGCAGCGTGGATTGCTATGTAATTTATAAAAAATAACGAAGTTCGTGTGGCGTTAGCTCAGCCGAAAATACCAGACATTGAAAAACAAAACAGAAGCTAAATCGTGGATAATTAGGCCCTAATTAAGCGGTAATCATAATATTTATACTAATAATTATAATAGCCGTAAAACACAACGAAAGGAAATTTAAAAACACTTTGCAAGTATTTAAACTTAATGAACCTCCAGCAAGAAAAACAACGGAGCGTTACCACTTGACCAAGAAACACTCCTCACCAATCAGCTTGAAGTTATAGTATGTCAACGACATGAGGTCGGAACATTATGAAATGCACTGATTTTAGCGAAAACACTTTTTGAAAGGTCTAAAATCCTATGTTTGGTCAGAAAATAAAGAGAACATTCGCTTGAGATGCGTTACATTTGCAATTAAACAAATCATAAAATAATATTGTTGAAACAGAATATCAGAAATTGTTGTTTAAAACAGGCGTTTTGGGTGTATTACCCTTCCCTTCTTTAGTTGTGAGGAGACAGCGTGGCCGAGCGATTAGAGCGCCGGACTCGCAATTTGGAGGCCCGGAGTTCAAGTCCCGCCCTGACCGCTCGCTGGATTGCATTGATGTCAAGATTATTATGAGCGAAAACGACCCCGATAATCTAAGTCTCTATGAATCATTTTACATTAGAAAGTGCAAGCCTACACTCAATTCCCGAGAAGAATGTACTGAATTCGCAGACCTTTTATTTTAGTATTTTATTTGAGAGACCATTCTTAAGCGCATTAGAGGTTCTTTGTCTAGAGACACTCCATCATTAGAGCTTTGTATTCTACTCACAGTTCATTTCTATAGCTTTCATACATACGTCGCATCTTTTACACATTTCACCCTACCCTTTCTTTGCATATATATAGCGCCCGCGGAATATTTTCTTATCCCTGATGATGCTGTTGATCGGCGAAAGCTTGGATTTTAGCTTTTACTTTTTAAACAGCAGTTCAAGGCCTCACTAGAACAGTTTTATATAGTTTTAATTATGCTGCTGAAGGACAACATGAACAGATTAAGTTTTCTTTCAGAGATTAGCTTTCTTCACCATTCTCTTTTTTCGAGGAATAATCCCCCTGATCCAGTTTAAAATAGGTGAAAGGGTACGTCAGCTGGTTTTTAAAGCGGGGATATAAATTATAAGGTGTAAAAGCTTGCAGCGTGGATTGCTATGTAATTTATAAAAAATAACAAAGTTCGTGTGGCGTTAGCTAAGGCTAAAAAACCGGACTTTGAAAAACAAAATAGAAGCTAAATCTTGGATAATTATGGCCTAATTAAACGGTAATCATGATATTTAAACTAATAATCATAATAGCCGTAAAACAGAGCGACAGGAAATTAAAAAACATTTTGCAAGTAGTTAAACTTAATAAGCCTCCAGCGAAAAAAACAACGGAGCGTTACCACTTGACCAAGAAAAACTCTCTCACCAATCAGCTTGAAGTTATAGTATTTAAACGACATGAGGTGGGAACCTTATGAAATGCACTGATTTTAGAGAAAACACTTTTTAAAAGGTCTAAAATCCATGTATGGTCGGAGAATGAACAGCGCTTTCGCTTCAGATGCGTTAAGAGGCAGTCTCCCTAAAAGCGTTCCACTCGATTTTGGACTCGAAAAAACTTTTGCCTCATAATTTTACCATCAACACTACTATCCATCCTGATAACGAAATTGCAGTTAGAATGAGGAAATTGTTTATTTTACTGCCATTCCCAGCATTTCATTGCTGGACGACCGTTAGCGGCTAAAATATGCAAATTTTAGTCTCTGCTATACAGGTTTTTTAACGATCGTTCTAAAGTTCTTCGGGTCATCAAATCCTAGACTATTGCACTCATTTGGAAGCATATTACTTCTTCTTACTGTTCCAATACCGTTTAGGCGTTATCTTTCTGTAATCAGCAAAAACTAGCCTGCATGACAGGCGCTTTATGAGCCAAGCGGGGCGAACGCGATATTTCGCGCGGAGCGCGACACGAGCGCGAAGCGCGAGACGAGGAAAAGAGAAAAATAAAGCGCCTGTTCGCAGTCCATTGTTCTTGCTGTTCCACCAATGCTCGACCGTCTATCAGGTAGACGGTCATGCTGATTGGTCAATTAGCGCCACGTGATGATGACGTAAGTGATCAAGATTAGTAAACAAAAATGGCGGCCTTGAGTTTGGAAGAAGCGATAGAAAGTGCTCTCGAAAGTTTTCCCAATATCGATTGTTTAAAGGATGAACAGAAGAAATGTATCGCAGCACTGCTACAGAAGAAAGACGTGTTGGGTTTGTTACCAACAGGATTTGGTAAAAGCTTAATTTTCCAACTATATCCGCGAATCTTCGAGTTGGTGAACGGCAGGAAAAATTGTCACGTTGTCATTGTTAGCGCGTTGAATGCTATAACAGAAGAGCAGGTTCAGGAACTTGCCGACATAGGCATATCAGCTGTAGCTGTTGGCGATAGCCGTGAAACGGATGAAAATATTCTAAAGGGCGATTACAAGTTGGTGTTTGGTAGTGCAGAAATGTGGCTGAGGAAGACCTGGATAAATAACTTCAAGAAGTCCGCCCTGAGAAACAATGTGGAGCTCATTGTCGTAGATGAAGCTCACGTTGCTCAAAGTTGGTAGGTATTCGGTATTTCCTTTTCATTGTAATTTCCACCACACAGTAGGCTTAAGTTCAATATGCGACATTGAAAACCTGAGATGTATGTACGTCGGTGTCGATCGATTGTTAACTTTTTGGTTGTAATTTGTGGAGAATAAATTATCAGACTTGTTAAGCTAAAGCATGGTTGCAGTACTGTAATACACTCGAGTGATCTTACAACTACTGTTTTCTTTTGTCTGCTTATGTTTGGTTTAAAATCAGCCTACCGCTATGCACTATTTGACAAAACACTTTACAATGTATTAAGCGGAGTAAAGTTGTTTTCAATAATAATATTAATAACGATTTATTGACAGTATATCTACAAAGTAGCTCTACATCTGCCATACTACAGTGGAACCTCAATGTAACGAAGGGCCAAGGGACTGGCACAATATGTTCATTATAATAAGGTTCCGTTATATCGAGGTTCTTTTTCATAAATTCTACTATTACTGGGGCAAAGAATTTTTTTTTATACCGAGGACTTTGTTATATAGAGGTTCGTTATATCGAGGTTCCACTGTAACTAAAAGAGTAAAAACTATTTACGTAGTGCTATAGGTGTAGTGGTGTTATATGAGATTTACAATATCTTATTTTCTTTTTGATTAAGGGGCCAGGCTACTAACAAGAAAACAGCTTTTAGGAAAGCTTATGGGGACATTGCCTCAATAAGATCCTTTCTTAAACCAGGAACCCCTTTACTTGCCTTGACGGCCACTGTGGAACAGAGAAGCAGAGAAGCTCTCGTGAAGCTTCTTGGGATGCCTAAAGCAAGTGTGATTGATGTGTCAGTTAACAATGAAAATATACGGTTCTCTGCCAAGGATGTCAAGAGAGGGCTGAGTTGTTTCAATTGGCTTGTTGACAAGATTGGCACTGAACAGGAACAAACTCCAAAGACTATTGTATTTTGTAGGAGTATTAATGACGTGTCAGTTGTATTGAGCTACCTACTCAAGAAACTGGGACACCTTGCTTATATAGATGAGAACAAGTCAAAAACTAAATGTCTACTTGGAGTGTACCACAGCAACAGCCCCGCTGAACTAAAGGAGCGAGTAAGAAAGTCTTTTAAGAATGATGATGGTCCCATCAGAGTAGTAATTGCCACCTCTGCACTTAGCCTAGGAGTGAACTTTAAAGACATAAGATATGTCATACACTATGGTCCTGCCCCAGATTTGCGTAGTCATTTGCAAGAAGCAGGCAGAGCAGGCAGGGATGGCAAAGAGGCACATAATATCACGTTTTACCATGGTCAGCAGCTGCGTCTCTGTGACAAAAAAATTAAAGCTTGCTTCAAAATAGACACTTGCCTTCGAGTGGCCCTTTTCAAGGATTTCGTGCGCGACATAAAATCTCTCCCAGAAGGGCATCGCTGCTGCCATAACTGCCACAGAATGTGCAAGTGTGGTGGCAACAAATGCAATGTTCAGTTGCCAGCATTTGAAGGATCTACTTCTGATCAGGAGAGTAAATCAGGGAGAACAAGAAGCATTACTACAGAAGATGAGAATGATTTAAGATCTGCACTGTTTGAAATCCAGGAAACACTTAATCAAAACATTTCATTTCCCATATTAGGGAATACTGTTATGGCACATGGATTTTCTGATGATGTCATTGAAGGTATTGTGAGTGAAGCCAGCCACATTTTTGATATTGAATATTTGATTGAAAATCATAACATTACGTCAATGCAACTTGCTAGAGACATTGTAGAAATATTTAGTGAACAGTTTGAAGACATAGACGTTTCTGCTGATGCAATGTTTTGTCAATCCTTTACCCAGGAGCAAAATTCATGTACAGCCACAGATTGTCATACAGACATGCGTGATTTGTTCTGGTGTGACTACTTTGATTCATCAGATGATTCTGGAGAAGAGGAGGATTGTCCTGTCAGTGAAGATGAATTTGATAATTTGCTTTTAACCCTTTGAGCCCCAATGTAGATCTTATTTCATCTTGCGACATGGCTATACAATACAACAGACAGCTCGAAAAGAAAGCAATAAGCAGACAAGTCAAACTGCTGTGATGTTTAGAAAATTTCTTCAAACACTTAGAAAGTAAAAAACCAGAAGAAATTTTTGCATAATGTAATTGGGCCTTAAAGGGTTTATTGAATCTACTAGATCATTTTGACTTGTGGTGAGCATCTCAGTCAAAGTCAACATAGGAAATGAGGTAGCCTTTTATATTTACTCGTACATAGCATACCATGTTTTGATAAGATCTCGTGACCATGAAAAGAAGTCTCTACAATCAAGACCCTTCAGGATATCCCTTTCAAAATTTGGAAAAGCAGTATATCCTTCTCTACCTTGCTGAAAGCTAAATACATTTCCTTCAACAAGATCATTTACAATTTGGGATACTGCTTGCTGAGCTTCAACCAACTTGTGGGCCCCACTTTTGTTAACTAGCCTAACATCACAGTCGACTGAATCTAGTACTTTCTGCATCATTGTCAGACATCTAGCAACTCTTTGGGCACTCTTGGCATTGATATTTCCTCCAAGCATTCTCAGGCATGATTTCAGCATGTGGTTATAAAATTCCATCTTTAAATCAAGTGGGATGTTTTTGCCCTTTCCCCCTTTTCCGTTAAAAAAGCGATTCCAGCGAAGATGGAAAGCTTCCCTTTCAGACAAAATTGCAAATACTTTACAAAGAAACAACAGCACTGTGTAAGCGTATTTGTGTTTCTTGAATTTCTTGAAAAACAAAAGTGACATTTTCATGCAATCCATCAGTCGTGCTGCATCTCCCTCTCTAATCGAGTCGTGAGTGTTCACCATCAGAAGACCATAAAACAGACGAGCTACATGGTAGTTGTACTTATAGTCCTCTACTACTTGCTCTTGGGGTTCCCCACTGACACTGGATGACTGGTCTGGGATGTTGTCGTGGGTTTTCCGTTCATGTCTATACAAATAAAAATACCCAGAAAAATTAATGGATTTGTTTGCTTCCATATGAAATGTTTTCTCAAACAAAGTAATTTTTTTTGAACAAGTTAGTGTCTGTAATCTGAAGAGCATTTAATCTGATACTGTGTTCATAACTGCAATGCAACAGTGCCAATGATCATTTTATAACAAAACCTGGATGCTTCCTAAAAATACAAGTAAAATTTACTCAGCCTGGCATTATTTAATAATGCCAGGCTGAGTAGCCATGTATCTGCTGCAAATGACTTAAACACCCATAAACACAAGAAACTAGTTGATATGTTTCCAGTACATAACTTGCCTGTTTCTACTAGCTTTGGTCTTGTAAAGGAGAAAACAGTTGGCATCTCTGCATTTGTAGTACCCTTCATTATCTCTGTCATCATTTGTTAACAGGTCAGGTGAAATGAAGGAGTGCTGGGAACATTCATGCCTACAAAAAATAATAGTAGACCAATTCTATTGCAAACCCCTAGTTATTTGTCATATTACGTAAGACAACATGAAATGATCCGAGATATTACCAAATCTTTAACTGATCTCAGCTAATAGGGAATCCAGCAGATCAATATTATTGCCAAATCACAACTTTTTGAAACTAGAATCATATTTTTTTGACATGTAACCCTGCATCCAGTCATCAAAATCTGGAATACACAGTGAAGAAATAATACTACTACCTTGCATGGGATGGAGGAAAGTTTAATAACAAAAGAATATTAATAAATTATTTATTGGTATAAACCAAGTTGCCGTACTTGACTCTCATGGGATGTAACATGAAGACTTCGTTGCATCCATCTACACGGCATCTGTACCCATGCAGCCTCCCATGTTCCATGTAGGACATTCCTTCATGTAGCTCAGATATGGTTTGTGTGTTTTCAGCAAACAGGAATAGGTCCAGAAAGGCTGCAATCTCCTCATGCAACCAAGTTCTTTTTTGCACCTCTGTCCATTTTTTAGCAGATTCTGGAATTTTCCTCTTGCAGGGTACACCTAAAAAAAAGAAGACAAACTGTTGCCTTAGGAGAACTGTCCATAATGGGTTGGGGGGGGGGGGGTTGGTTAGAATATAATCCAGGCTTTATGTGAGGTTTGGACCAATACGATTTGAGTGTCTGCTTAGGAGGGGTGTCTGGCTACGGTAGCTGTCCTTTAGAGGGGTTTGACTATATAACAGGCTTACTTTGTCTCAGACAGTTTGAGCAGGCATAATGCCTCTACTCAGCTCAATCCCCCCTAGATTAAATATGTTTTTTCTGTTAGGTTATAAAAAAGCGCTAGTTATTTCAATTACTTTGAAACTGGTTATTACTGGTCCTTTGATTGCAATTACTGCATGAAAAGTAAGAAAAGTAGTGTATTTTATGTATGGTGTAAACAGACTGTGACTTGCAGAAATTTAATAAGCCCTCTCCCCTCTTCTCTTTATTTGTGAGAGTTAAAATTAAGAAGCCCCCGGAGACTAATAGAGAAAAATTCACAGTAATAACATAAACTCAGGCATACATTTAACATTTTACTTAGTCACACAAACCCAAATTATTAAATTCATGCGATTACATTTTCTTCTTACCATCCATTTTCTCTAAACCTACAAATGCCAGCCATGCAGTGATTATATGGGCCTCAGTCTCCCTATCAAAGAATTCTTTGAATGCATTGTACTGATCATATGGTCCTTTCTTTGCTGTGATCTTTCCTGTTCGGTTCATTGATGCTATTGATGTTCCAATGTCACCACTTGATTCAGCCTTTATAAACATCTCTTCTGCAATCTGTTTAAGAAATAGTAAAGACTGACAACACTATTATGTGGACAGCCTGTTTTATGCTGACATACACTAATATTCCCCAAGGACGACAAGTTGGACTGTAGTGACTGGTTGTGGAGGAATTAATATCAGATTTTGATGGCAAAAATATGTTCATCAATCAAACTAAAAAACACTCCCAGCATCACTAGATCAGATTTTTGATCCTTGAAATTTAGCAACTACTGTGGTGAAACTTGGTCCAAGCCTTCGTGAATTCCAAACAGTAAAAATGTTAGGAGATTTACAACTACAGTAACTGCAGTTAACTATTTCATTTTTTCTCCCACCTAATCAAGATTGATGTTTGGATTATAACTGTAATTACAACTTCACAGAGGTTCGTTAATGACCATATCTATAATGCATGTAAGTACTGAATAACCTACTAGGAAAGGAGAACAGGATATATTGTTCAGTGTTGGTTCACATGCTGATGTACAAGTAGGTGAGGCTATTGGGAATGCGTATGCAATTTCACTTTACACGCCCTTAATACACTGTACATGGCACTGTTAATAACAGAGATTGCTACAAAATACTTGCAAGTATAAAGTAAAGGGTTTTAATTGATATAAAAAGACTTGTGTCTACCTCGAAAAGCTTAACTTTCCAGTGCCAATCAGCATGATTTGTCTCCAAACCATCAAGACGATCAAATGAAGTTGCCCCAAGTCTGTAAGTCCACTGCACATTCCTTGCACGCTCTTCCGTAAGCTGATCTCCATCCAGCGGAATCTTATGGAGGACTTCTTTGGTATCATTGACCTCAGTAGCTGGCACATACTTGTCATGGAAAGTTGTCAGGAGTTGAGCCATATCAACAGACTTGTTAGGGTTCAGGAATTCAAGACCTAAGTAACACTAGAGAATGTAAAAAAAAGTTAGAGTGATTTTGCATGTCCATTGAAATATTTATTTTAGTTCCATTGCATATTATTTTGTTTACTTTCAGCTATATAGCTTTAACAACATTATTGTTAGATATTATTTTGGAACACATAGGTTTAATAAAACCATTCTAATTCATGTAAAATGGTGGACACAGGAGACATGGGTATAGGGATTCCCATAGACAAATAGTGTAATCATTGACCTTTCATGTACCAAAATGCTGTTTTGATACCATAATAAGTGTTCAGCATCAAATGGACCAGAGTTATAAAGCTTTTTTTCAAAAATAAAGTCTATCATATCGTGGCTATTAAAATAATTTTACATGGAGTATGTGTACATTTTAAGGGCAAGAGCATGTAAATTAGGCTACTCAAATAGTACTCAATGTAATAAATATTATTAACATACCTCGTCTGACTTTTGAGCCATCTTTTCAGAATTTTCGTGGGGGATGTGGTGAATTACAATTTTCTTGAAAACTTTGTAGGCAGGCAAATATTGCACTAAAACTCTGGCCACCAAAGGGATGAAGTTTGAACGCAAGGACGCAAGCACATCTCCAGAT